CTTTACACAATTGATGTGTGTATGGATTGTGATAAGAGTTGTATGAGCCCCTAATAAAATGTTTAAAAAAATTAACCATCAATAGAAACCACAATAAGATACCCCTTTGTACTCACTTCTTGTTTTTTAATCGTTTTATTAGGGGCTCATACAACTCTTATCACGATGCATCAATCGTGTAAAGCACATTTGTACATTCATTGCCCTCATCATTCTCAAAACATTTGCTCTCCACTTAAGGCCCTGGCATCAGCTCCTCATTTTTGACCTTACCTCCTTGCTCCCCCCTCCCTCTGTACTCACTTCTTGCCGTTTGCTGCCTTCCAGTCTGCCTCATAGTGACCCCAGAATAAAATGCTGCCCCATCCCACACTGCCGCCATGGTGGAACGAGGATCAGGCAGTCGTGCTCTATAGACTTTTCATTGTCTAATTTCCACAAGTTCATTGCCCCACCTTTCTTCCTAGTCTGCTTTATCTGTAAGCTCAGCTGAAACCTAACAGACAAGTGGTCTCCTGTGTGGAAGGTGAAAATTCTACCACTGAACCAACAGTGCTTCCATTAGGATAAGCACCCTCATCCTCATCATAAGCGACAGATAATAACAAATGTTGACAAGGTTGTGAAAAAATTCAAATCCTAATACAGTCTGGTGGGAATGTAAAATTGTGCAATTGTTTTGGAAAACAGTTTGGCAGTTTCTCAAAAAGTTAAACACAGAACTCCCTTGTGATCCAGCAATTCCAATCCTAGGTATATATCTAAGAAAATTTAAAGTATGTGTTCACACACACACAATTTTACATAAATGTTTATAGCAAAATTACCCTTAACAGCCCCCAAAATGGATACAACCCAAATGGTTTATTATCTGAGAAAAGGATAAACAAAATGTAGCCTATCCATACAATGGGGTACAATTCATGCTATGACAGAAGAAACTTGAAAACATTATGCTAAGTGAAAGAGACCAGACATAAGCGATTACATGCATACGGTATGACACCATTTATATGAAATATCCAGAAAAGGCAAATCCCGAAAGGCAGAAAAGAGAGGAATAGTTACTTGCGGCTGGGAAAGAAGGAGTGGAGGAAATGACTGAGAATGGGTACAGGGATTTGAGGGTGGGCAACGAAACTATTTAAAATTGATTGTGGTGATAGCTGAAAAACAGTGAATATGCTAATAACAATCGACTTCTACAGAGCATTGTATGGTATGTGAATTATAACAATAAAGCTATAAAAAAGTCAAGAGAGAGGAAAGTCCCAATGGTTTTATGTGTATAAAGTACGTCAATTGAGAGGCTTACTCTGACTTTATATCCACCATGATAATGCCTTGCGTTTCTAACCAGAGGAAAGACTGTTTAAATACGTCTCTGTGACCAGGGGGTGACTGCAGACAGGTTCCCTCTATGACCTAACATTTTTATAGCTGCCAAGAATAAATCTAGCTTTTTCTTTCATTGTTGTTGAAATTTTGTTAATCATCTTTAGAAAGATGATCATATAAAATTAAACATATGATTGAAAAATCTAAAACCAAGATAGAAATAAAATGAAAGTATTTCTTAACACCCCCACCATTCACCAGTTCTATTCCTGTTCTACAAATAATTATGGTGAACAGTTTGCTGTGTTTCTTTTTCCAAACTTTTGCTATGTGTTCTTCTTTTGTATATGATACAACATAAGAGTCTACATACAGGTCTACAAGTTGATTTTCTTCATTCACAATTCTATTGGAAACCTTCCCCAAACCATTTATTATTGAAAAACACCTTTTATGTTAATTAGAATTCAAGTTACATTTATGTATCCTTTTTGGAAGCTTTTAACAGGCCTTCCCCACCACTTACATGTTCTTCTAGAATTCCCAAAGATTTGTTCTTAGGAAATCCTTTCATTTTTCAATTTCATAAAGTATTCTTTCATAAAGTAACAACTTTACTTCCTTTTTGGATACATACTCAAGGACAGAATAAGACCATCTTAATTAGCTAACTAGGCATCTAGGAGTCCCCCTAAAAATGTGAACTTTAGAATTGAGAAATACCATCCTCTCCTCAAATTACATTCACTTTCAATCGGTAGTGCCAAGACAATGTCACTACATCTGCTAATAAAGCCTTATACCAAAGTTTCTCAGCTTAAAATAGACCCAAACATTCATTCTTTTCATAACAATGGGTGAAGGTGGGTGAGGATGGGGCAAAGGGAAACATTTTACCCAAAGAAAAGACAAGCTTGCAAAACGAACCTGCATTTGGCCTTGTTCATTAGCATATTCGATTGACTGGAAGATGGTGAGGGCATAGCGTTGTCTAACCTTCAACCGAGCGCTGTAACTTCGGTACCAATTCTGGATGATCATTGCAGCTCTTATTGCTGCCCACCACAGGATATGAAAATCAGAGAAAAACAATTATACTACAGTATGGACAAAGTAGGTGCTTTTGAAAGATATCAGTCTATTTGGATTCCTAGGTTTAAGAACATGAAAAACTAAAAGCAATGAAACTTTATCTCTAGGGTTTTTATTAAACTCTCCTCAAGTCTCAAGAATTCAGCGAAAAATGATGGCAAAGAATTAGAAGGTCAAATTTTAGAACAGGACTTCCTGAATTTGACTCCTAACTATCCCTTTGGGTAAGTTGTTGTTGAAGCTCTCAAAGCCTCAGATACCTCACCTTTGAAATGGGAGTGATAGCAGTCCCTACATCTGGCACTTTGGTAAATGGAATCCATGTATATTCTATAAAGTAGCAATTCCACTCTTCTATATACAACCCACAGCAATATTCACACAGCACATAAAGGAGCCATGTATGGGAACACCATCTCAATGTTCTTTGTAGCAGTAGAATTTTTGATAGCAATGCAGCCTGTGTGTCCATTGCTGGGAATGAGAATGCATAACTTATGGTGGGTGCACACCATGGATATCATTTTTCCACTGGAAGCAACAGACTAAATGAACCCAAAGCATCATGAATGGGCCTGTAAAACGTACTGCTTCACTTAGATCAGTTAAGAAAAGAAGTTATAGTAGGAATAAAATATGAGGGTAAGCCAAAAAGTATTGCCATAAGGATTCCAGTTCATACATGCATGGGCTTATTCCAAATAAAACATGTTTAAACACGCCTCTGTGACCAGTGGATGACTGCAGACACATTACCTCCATACTACTCTTAAGTTCCTCTCTTGAGAGTGACTTTAAGAAAAGATCCAATCGAAAAAGTGGCTCTGGAAGGCATCTGCTGGGCTAGCTTCATTCAAGGCAGAGAAGTATGTTCAGAACGTGATGGTAACTGTTTTGGAAATTCAAAAGGGGTCTACTTGATAGATTTTCTTGAAGGACACAGGAACGCCACTGGGACTTATTGGGAAGATATCTTAAGAAAATTGAACATTGCCTTAGTGAAGCAAAGGTCAGGAAAGTTGGGCTGATTTTTTTCCCGCCTCAATAATTCACCTGCTCATTTTCTGAGGGTAGCAAGGCCTGCCCTAGGAGAAACCTTGCCCCATTCACCCTACAGGCTGATCTTGCCCTTTCCAACTTCTTTTTTATCTCAAAAATCAGAAAACATTTCAAGAGAATGCAACTCTTGTCCCTCAAGTCTGCCATTGTGATGTGGTGCAAATAGAACAGCTCAAAATTCTTCCAGGAAAGGTTCAAGAATGGAAACATCACTTTTACAAGCGCATAGACCTAGATGGAGGATATGTCGAGGAATAATAGCTTCACATTTGATCTTTTTGCTTAATAAAGGTTTCTATTATTTTACAGCAATTTTTTACTTACCATCACATAGCATAGCATGACACCATTTCATTTAAATTAAATGTATACGTACACAAAACCATGATTTGTATTTCATAAGAATATATACAAATAAAAAGATACATACTGAATGCAATAGATTGGTTATTCATAGTCAGAGGAGAATGAGCATGGGATACATGGGTAAAAAGGAAATAAATGAATGAGCATGAGAAAGGGTCTTTCCCAGACCAGTAATGACAACATACAAAGAACTGATTCTCGCCATCTGTATTTTAGCTTCCATTCATAAAAGACAACTGAATAACAAACACGCTCTGCTTCTGTCTTAGCTATCTAGTGCTGTTACAACAGATACACCACACATGGATGGCTTTAGCAAACAGAAATATATTTTCCCACATTTTAGGAGACTAGAAGTCCGAATTCAGGGCCCCACACTCAGGAAAGGTTTCTATTTGTTGGGACTCAAGGAAGGTTCTTCCTTGTAACTCCTTTTTTTTTTGGCGGGGGGTACCCCC